AAATGCTTGTCTTTCATCATTTGTTGAAGACGTTTCGAGCGAAACGCTGGTTTTGCAAAATTGGGGGATGTCTCGAGCGGGGGCCTCGTGGGGGTCCTCGTGGGGGGTCCAGAATTCAGAGGATGTCTCAGGCGAAATGCTTGTTTTCACGTCCCGCTCGCAGAAATTCCGAGGATGTCTCGCGCGTGCCGCGTCCCGCGCGCAGGAATTTTGAGGATGTTGGCAGGATGTCTCGAGCGAAACGCTTGTCCCCAGCACGTTCCGTAGCGCGTCCCCTTGGCACGTCCCGCGGTGCGTCCCCATGGCACGTCCTTTGGCACGTCGCTTGGCGGGTCCCTTGAGACGTTCCGCGTCGCGTCCTCCTGGTATGTCCCCTTGTCAATTAGCTCTGGGGCAGCTACTATGTGTTCAGGCAGCTCGAGCTTAAGATCCAGATCAGTTCGGTCAGGACTCGGATGCAAAGAGGACTCGATCCACAACGCTATCTAGAGCACAATCGCGGCATGGCACATCGCAGTTCAGCACGGCGCAGCACAGCACAGATTTCGGCATGGTACATCAAGATCGATACACTCAGCATTGCGACTTGGCACGTTTCCTGGGGCGTCCCTTGGCGAGTCCCCCTGGCACGTCGCGTGGCGCGCCCCCTGGCACGTCCCGCGGCACGTCCATTGGCACGTTCCGTAGCGCGTCCGCTTGGCACGTCACGCGGTGCGTGCCCATGGCACGTCCCCTGGCACGTCGCTTGGCGCGTCCCTTGGGACGTTCCGCGGCGCGTCCTCCTGGCATGTCCCCTCTGTCGATTGGTTGTGGGGCAGCTACCATCTGCTCAGTCAGCTCGAGCTTAAGATCCAGATCAATGCGGTCAGGACTCGGATGTTAAGGAAGACTCGATCCACGACGCTATGTAGAGCACAATCGCGGTATGGAACATCGCAGTTCAGCACGGTGCAGCACAGCACAGCCCCTGGCACAGTACATTAAGATCAATACATTCTGCATTGCATTTGCCCGTCGCCCAATCAAGTGTCTTTGAACAGTTGCCATGCCTTACATTTCTATATTCCTTTCCGGGTTCGTGGGTCGATCATGTTGGGGGGCCAAGATCCTTTCACTTCTAGTTGTTCCATCCTGGGCCTCCATCCTGGGCCTCTTCCTGGCTTTCGGGAAGGTGCGGAGCATTTTCTTTTGGGGGAGGGCAAAGGGTGAAATCTGAAATGCTGTTTCGATGGGTTTTCGAGGCTTGCATCTGCAAACGGTGAATCACACGTCGGATTGATTTTCGAGGTGCAAAATGCCCATATGGATTTCACCCTGAGCCCTGTGCCCGAAGAAAGTGCTCCGCACCTTCCCGAAAGCCAGGAAGAGGCCCAGGATGTAGACCCAGGATGGCACACTCAGAACTGAAAGGATCTCGGCCCCCCAAAAAATCAAGGAAGCAGCTTCCAGGGGGACTCCAGGGTGGCCTCGTCTGCCTTCCTCTCCTCGGGGCCGTGTCGGCCGGCGCAGGCGCCGTGCCACACCCTTCGCGGTCGGGGTGTCCATGCCGCCCCCGCGCTTTGCCGATGGCAGAGCGCGGCCGAGCTCGGGCCCTCCCTCCCTGCTCTCCCGTGCCCTCGCCGAGACCTCCCCCGGCTGCCCGCCTCGCTCTCCTCGCCGCTCTGCTCCTTCTCCGCCCCCGTTCGCCGCTCCCTCGCACTCTCCGCCTCTCGTGCTCCGCCGCCGCCTCCGCCCCCCCCCCCCCCCCTCCCCCTTGTGAACAAAGAAAATCATGGCGGACGCCCGATTTTCCCGGAAAGGGCTCAGGCCCAGGGTTCTCTTTTAGTATGTAAGCATAGTCCCCCGCGCCCAACTTGAAGGAGGCCGGCGAAATTTTTCCCTGATAAATATCGAGGTCGAAGGAGGCCGGCGAAATTATTTTTGAGGATGTCTCGGGCGAAACGCTTGTTTTTGAAATCCCGATCGATAAATCACAGGGTGCGGGCCACTTTTTCGTGCGTTGAGGATGTCTCGAGCGAAACGCTTGCTCCGCAGAGTTTGCCGAGGATGTCTCGAGCGAATCGCTTGTTTTCGACACCCCAGCACGACCCCACCCCAGCACGACCCCACCCCAGCACGACCAAACCCCAGCACGACCACACCCCAGCATTACCCCACCCCAGCACGACCCCACCCCAGCAAGACCATCACCCAGCACGACCACGCCCCATCACGACCTTACCACAGCACGACCACACCCCAGCACGACCACGCCCCAGCACGACCACGCCCCAGCACGACCACGCCCCAGCACGACCACCCCCCAGCACGACCACCCCCCCAGCACGACCACACCCCAGCAAGACCACACCCCCAGCACGACCACACCCAGCACGACCCCCCCCCCCGCACGACTACCCCCCCAGCCACGACCGACCCCCCAGCACGACCACACCCAAGCACGAACCACGCCCCAGCCACGACCACGCCCCATCACTACACACCCCAGCCGACCACACCCCAGCCCGACCACACCCCAGCACGACCACACCCCAGCACGAAAACCACACCCCAGCACGTACCCGATCGATAATCACAGGTGCGGACCACCCCAGCACGACCACACCCAGCACGACCCCCACCCGCACGACCCCACCCCGGCCGACGCCTGCCCAGCATACCACATACCCTTAGCACGACCACACCCCAGCACGACCACACCCCACTATCCCACCCCACAGACCCACCTAGCACATCGACACACCCCAGCACGACCCCACCCCGCACGAACCACACCCCAGCACGACCCACCCCAGCACGACCCCACACAGCACGACCACCCCCCAGCACGACCATACCCAAGCACGACCACACCCCAGCACGACCCGACCCCAGCACGACCCTACCCCAGCAAGACCACACCCCAGCACGACCACACCCCAGCACGACCTCACCACAGCACGACCACACCCCAGCACGACCACGCCCCAGCACGACCACGCCCCAGCACGACCACGCCCCAGCACGACCACCCCTCAGCACGACCACACCCCTAGCACGACCACCCCCCAGCACGACCACCCCCCAGCACGACCACACCCCAGCACGACCACACCCCAACACGACCATACTCCAGCACGACCACACCCCAGCACGACCACACCCAGTCGCACCCCCGTGGAATGTTTCGTGGGGTGTCTGGTTGAGTGGTTGCCTGTTCGTGGGGTGTCTCGTGGAATGTTTCACGGGGTGTCTCGTGGAATGTTTCGTGAGGTGTCTCGTGGGTTGTTTCGTGAGGTGTCTCCTGGGATGTTTCGCGGGGTGTCTCGTGGGATGTTTCGTGAGGTGTCGCCCAGTTGGATATCGTGAAAACGTGACCATGCTGCACATGACTATATCCCTTTCCGGGTTCGTGGGTCCATCATGTTTTCGGAGGTGGATAGACCTCCTACCCTGACACGTCGATTAGTGAATTGGCCGTTTTCGGTTTGCGAGAGGGCGTCGCGGCCGTCTTTTTTGCGGGTCCAGGTCCGTCGGTTTCGGCCCCAGGCCGTTTTCACTAAGGGGAGGTTTACTAAAGGGAGGTTTGTTCACCGCCGATGTTTGGCATCTGCATGAAAAAAACAATCTGAGGGCCGTCTGGGAGGCGACGTCGCGATTCTGCAGCATGAGCCGTCGCGTTGTGTGGTTGTTGCGTTGCTTCCTGAAGGCTTCTCAGCAGACTCTTGGGGGCCTCCATGTTTCTGTTAGCCCTGTACGTGTCTCTTTTGGGGGCCTGCTGGGGATGTTTGTTGACATTGTGGAGCCTTTCGGGGAGTCCTTCGGCTTTCCAGGCTGTCTCGGAGCTCTCTTGACGCTCGTCCGAGAGGCAGCAAACTCTTGCGTATGTGTGCGGCGAGGCGAGGTGGTGGTGGGGGGGTTGCCTTGGAAAGTCAATCACACCCACCAGACAGTAACATACATGACGCCACTCATTGAACGTGCCGAGGGCAAGGTGGCGGATCAATCAGCGACGATTGCATGCCCATGACTTGTAAAACGAACAGCGCCACGACCATGTTAATGCACCTGATTTGAATGTTTTGCAATCGGAGCCTTATCCATTCCAGTTCGAGGTGGAGATCACAAGGTGAGCCCCAGGCACTCACGCGGCCTCCTCACTCCGCATGGTAGCGACAATTTTAGGCGGTTGGCCAGTGCCACTCCTCACGTTCCCCCCTTCGCATCGCGAGAGCATTCGTTTTTGCGCTGCAGGTCGGCCCAGCTGCTGAAACACATGGTTCTACATCATAGAGGCTCGGATCCCTGGAGAGACTTCGTGGATCGATGCCTTTGCAAGAGCAGGGACCTGCCAATCGTCCTCACAACATTCAAGCAAGTTGTCACTTCGATCTCCTGCAGTCCACGCTACAGTCCACCCGCACAGTACGGATGGGCACCCTCCCCAAGGGTACCCCCTCTCATCCTTGTCTCCTCTGTCCATCCTTCGCCAATCGCGTTGGCCGCGCCCCGCTCGAAAAGCTTCGACATGGGCGTCCAAGGGCCTTGCATCCTCACCGCGCATCCTTATGATCGGCGGCGGGCGCGGGGGGGAAATAAGAAGGGCGGGACTTCCGAGGCTTCTGAGAAGTTTCCGGACTTCTGAGAGGGCTTCTGAGAAGTTCAGTCTGTATTCGAAATAGGCTAAGGAGACCTCTCAGAAGCCCCCTGGGCTTCTAAGAAGTCCCGCGGCCTTCTGAGAAGGCCTGCTCCTTCTCATTCCCCCCCTGGGCCCGCCGCCGATAGGAGATGGGCTGATCGCATCCCTCCCGCCCCCTCCCCCCCTCCCTCCGCCACCCGCCTCCTCCTCCTTCTCCTCCTCCCCCTCCTCCTCCTCTTCCTTTTCCTCCTCCTCCTCATTTACCTTTTCCTCCTCCTCCTCCTCCTCCTCTCCTCCTCCTCTTCCTTTTCCTCCTCCTCCTCCTCCTCCTCCTCCTTTTCCTCCTCCTCCTCCCTTCTCAAATGGACCCCTCGGCGTGCAGGGCCGTGCTCCGCGACCGGCACCACCTCTGCCTGACGACGGGCACGTCGAGCGGCAAGTCGCTGGCCTTCGCGGTCCCGATCATGGAGGCCTTCCTCGAGGACCAGGGGCAGGGTGGGGGGGGACGGTTGGCTGGGTCCTCCTCCTCCTCCTCCTCCTCCTCCTCCTCCTCCTCACCCTCCTCCTCCTCCTCCTCCTCCTCCTCCCCCTCCTCCTCCTCCTCCCCTCCCCCTCCTCCTCCTCCTCCTCCTCCTCCTCCTCCTCCTCCCCCTCCTCCTCCTCCTCCTCCCCCTCCTCCTCCTCCTCCTCGGAGAAAGTCGGGGAGGGCGGCAGAGAGAGCTTTGCAGGAGGCCCCCGAAGCATCGTCGGAAGGTCCGAGGTGGCCCCAAGACGGCTCCCAGACTTTCTCAAGGATCTGGGGATGGGGGCAGGGAGAGATTCGCAAGAGGCCCCCGAAACATCGTCAGAATGTCCGAGATGGCCCAACACGGCTCCCAGACAGCTCGAGAGGCTCCTGGAGGCCTGTAACACAATATCCCCAGAGGCCGCCAAAACGTCCCAAGTTGGCCCAGGAGGCTCAGTAGACCCACATGTCCAGAGACCCTCCAGCAGCAGCACCAGCAGAGCCAGCAGCAGCAATGAGCAGGAAGCGTCATTAAGTGACATCACGCAGCAGCAAGCTAAGGCAAGCAGCCTGAAGCGGCAGAGAACAGCAGACGGCGGCAGCAAGCAGCAGCAGACAGTTACTCAGAAAATTTCGCAGAGAGTCGCCTCTGTTGCAATGTGCTGCCTTGGGCGCCGTTTTGCGCAGGCAGTGGTCCCTAAACCTTTGTGGATCGCAGTGCTTCTGATGGCCCACGCAGTTCCACACGATCTCTCACCGGATGCGAAATTTTCGGTGGCATCAGCACAACGAGCCACCTGCTCTTGCTCTTTCTGTCACTGCCGTGCGGCAGAGCTTTCTCGCGGGACTGCGGATTCAAGTCAGCACTGATTTTGGGCAAGGCGGCATCGTCACTGCTGATGTCTCATGGTGCGCAGTGCGTTTTTGTTTCGGATCTTTTTTTTTTCTGTGCCGCGCGTCACGTGCATCGGGGCAAGGTGCCGAGCGATCGTGCCCTCCTCCACCAACGGAGGGAGCAGTCCGAGGAGGCGCTCGCAGATGCAGAAGCCAGCGCAGCAGCATATCTGCAATGGAGAAATGGCAGGCGGACCCTTGTGGAGTCACAGCCTCAGCACCGCTGGGTTGGGTCCGCGCGAGGATGCCGTGGCAACGTAGCGACGCCTCGTCGGCACTCGAGGCGAGCGCTCGCACCGTCGCAGCACTGCGCCGCCCCGCGGCAACGCACGTGTCTGGCAGGACTGGCTCTCCTTCCCTCTCCCCTCTCTCCCCCCCCCGCTCCGCTCCGCTCCCCTCCTCCTCCTCCTCCTCCTCCTCCTCCTCCTCCTCCTCCTCCCTCCTCCTCCTCCTCCTCCTCCTCCTCCTCCTCCTTCTCCTCCTCCCCCTCCTCCCGCTCCTCCTCCTTCCCTCCTCCTCCTCCTCCTTCCTCCTCCTCCTCCTCCTCCTCCTCTCCTCCTCCTGCCTCCCCCCTCCCCCCCTCCCTCACCCCCTCCTCCTCCTCCTCCTCCTCCTCCTCCTCCCTCCCCTCGTCCTCCTCCCTCCTCCTCCTCCTCCTCCTCCTCCGCCTCCTCCTCCTCCTCCTCCCCTCCTCCTCTCCTCCTCCGTCCCCTCCCCTCCTCCCCATCCTCCTCCCCCCCCTCCTCCTCCTCCTCCTCGCTCCTCCTCCTCCTCCTCCTCCTTCTCCTCCTCCCCCTCCCCCTCCTCCCCCTCCTCCTCCTCCTCCTCCATCCTCCTCTCCTCCTCTCCTCCTCCTCCTCCTCCGCCCACCCCCCTCCTCCTTGTCCTCCTCCTCCTCCTCTTCCTCCTCCTCCTCCTCCGGCTCTTCCCTGCTCCTCCTCCTCCCCTCTCCCCCCCCCGCTCCCCCCTCTCGCTCGCCCTCTGCTCCCCCCCGTCCTCCCCTCCCCTGCCCCTCGCTCGCCACCGCCCGTCCTTCAGCCCTGGCATCTCTCGGACGTGTGTGCGCTTCTTCCTCGGCGAGGGCCAGCGGGGGGCAGCTGGGATCGCCGTGAGAGGCAGGAGCGCGCGAAGCCGAAACATGCACGGGGAATGGACGTCCGAGCGATGGCAAGATCCTCCCCGTGCGGGTGCGGAGGCGCCCTCGGCGGCGGCGGCGGCGGCGGAGGGCAAGGCGATCCGCTCGGCCCGCCTCTCGTTCCCCAAGGGGGAACGGGGGCGCCCCGAGCCCTCGAGGGCACGAGACGCTTCCGTGGAAGCCGTTGCCCTCGGGGTCCTGGAGAGTCCCGCGCCCGCGGGAAGGCAGGCGAGGGCCCCTCGCTCGCCGCCGCCCGTCGTTCCACGGGTGCGCAGGCCAGGCATCAGCCCCCGAGGGGGCCGACGAGGGGCCGCGGGCGCGTGCCCTGCCTCCGCCCTCCTCCTCGTCCGTCTTCGTCCTCCTTCCTCCCCCCTCCTCCGAGCCGAGGAGGAGTGGAAAAAAAAAAAGGGGGAAAAAAAAAAAGGGGAAAAAGGGAGGAGGCGGATGAGGAGGAGGAGGAGGAGGAGGAGAGGAGGAGGAGGAGGAGGAGGAGGAGGAGGAGGAGCAGGAGGAGGAAGGAGAGGAGGAGGAGGGCAGGAGGCAGAGCAGGGAGAGTGAGGAGGAGGAGGCGGAGGAGGAGGAGGAGGAGGAGGAGGAGGACGAGGAGGAGGAGGAGGACCCAGCCAACCATCCCCCCCACCCTACCCCGGGTAACGCTACGCTGACGATCGTGCGGATGGGGGTGCCTGGACGCTCCCTCCTCACATGCTGTGGCGCACACAGGCGACTGATGCGCCGATGGCGCAGACGCACCCTGACAGGTGCACGCCGCGCCCCCGTTGCGGATACCCTCCCGCCCGAACCCGCGCCCCTTGGGTAATGACCGTTGCCCCGGAAAGTCACATGGGCCCCTTGCCCACGCGGGTTGGCGCACCGGGGTCGCCGCGCGCAATCGTGGGCACCGCTTCTCAAGAGACGCCAGCCATGGCTGAAGAAAATTCAGTTTTTTGAGGGTCCGCCGATAGCCCGGGTTATCGCCCCGTCCCCTGGATGACCTGACTTGGTCGGTTGCGCAGGTCCAGCGGGGGTGCGCAGTACTGGTGCGCGCGGGCATGCGTGTGGCTGCCCGGAGCGCAAAGGGTAGGTTCTCGGCCGGCACCTCCCTCCCCGACCCCCCCCCTGATAGCTTGGGCTATCGTTGAGTCGGGCTTGTCCCTCTACAAGGGGGAAAATTCAAAAATAGCAAAAAAATAGTCTGGGGCCTATTTTTTGGATATTTTGTGACCATTTTGGAGTATTCCTAATTTTCCCGGAAAGGGCGCGGGCCCAGGGTTCTCTTTTAGTACGTTAACCCCCCGGCCCCCCTGCGACTTGGGCCGGCGAAATTATTTTGCGAGCGGGCACGCACGGAGTAGGGCCGGCGAAATTATTTTTGAGGATGTCTCGAGCGAAACGCTTGTTTTTCAGAATTTGTTGAGGATGTCTCGAGCGAGACGCTGGTTTTGCAGAGTTGGGGATGTCTCGAGCGAAACGCTTGGTTTCAGAATTTGTTGAGGATGTCTCGAGCGACACGCTGGTTTTGCAGAGCCGACCGCGACACGGAAAAGCGCCCCTCGCGCAGGAATTCCAAGGATGTCTCGCGCGTGCCGCGTCCACGAGGACTCGATCCACGAGGCTATAGAGCACAATCGCGCCATGGCACATCGCAATTCAGCACGGCGCAGCACAGCACTGATTTCGGCACGGTACATCAAGGTCGATGCACTCAGCATTGCAACTTGGCACGTTCCTTGGCACGTTCCGTGGGGCGTCCTTTGGCGAGTCCCCCTGGCACGTCGCGTCGCGCGTCCCCTGGCACATCCCGTGGCACATCCATTGGCACGTTCCGTAGCGCGTCCCCTTGGCAGGTCCCGCGATGCGACCCCATGGCACGTCCCTTGGCACGTCGCTTGGCGCGTCCCTTGAGACGTTCTGCGTCGCGTCCTCCTGGCATGTTCCCCTGTCCATTAGCTCTGGGGCAGCTACTATGTGTTCAGGCAGCTCGAGCTTAAGATCCAGATCAGTTCGGTCAGGACTCGGATGCAAAGGAGGACTCGATCCACGAGGCTATAGAGCACAATCGCGCCATGGCACATCGCAATTCAGCACGGCGCAGCACAGCACTGATTCGGCACGGTACATCAAGGTCGATGCACTCAGCATTGCAACTTGGCACGTTCCTTGGCACGTTCCGTGGGGCGTCCTTTGGCGAGTCCCCCTGGCACGTCGCGTCGCGCGTCCCCTGGCACATCCCGTGGCACATCCATTGGCACGTTCCGTAGCGCGTCCCCTTGGCACGTCCCGCGGTGCGACCCCATGGCACGTCCCCTGGCACGTCGCCTGGCGCATCCCTTGGGACGTTTCGCGGCGCGTCCTCCTGGCATGTTCCCCTTAGCTCTGGGGCAGCTACTATGTGTTCAGGCAGCTCGAGCTTAAGATCCAGATCAGTTCGGTCAGGACTCGGATGCAAAGGAGGACTCGATCCACGAGGCTATAGATCACAGTCGCGCCATGGCACATCGCAATTCAGCACGGCGCAGCACAGCACTGATTTCGGCACGGTACATCAAGGTCGATACCTTCAGTATTGCATTTGCCCGTCACCCAATCAGGTGTCTTTGAAAACGCTGCCATGTGTTACAGTTCTACATTCCTTTCCGGGTTCGTGGGTCGATCATGTTTCCTAGACAGGGCTTAGGCCCAGGGTTCTCTTTTCGTTTGTTTGCCCCCGGGTTTGACTTGAGGTGGGCCGGCGAATTTCTTTGCGATAAGTATCGAGGTCGAGGTGGGCCGGCGAATTAAAATTTGAGGGTGTCTCGAGCGAAACGCTTGTTTTTCATAATTTGTTGAGGATGTCTCAAGCGAAACGCTTGTTTTGTCATAGATTGTCCTCTCCTGGGGACCTGAATTCAGAGGATCTCTCAAGTGAAATGCTTGTTTTCACGTGCCCAGGTCTTGATGATGTCTCGAGCGAGACGCTTGGTTTCACGCCTCCAAGTTGCCCGCACAGATGTCTAGCATGAGGATTTGTTGAGGATGTCTCGAACCAGAGGCTTGTTTTCACGTGTCCAGGCCGCCCAGGCGGATGTCTAGCATGAGGATGTGTTGAGGAAGTCTCGATCGAGATGCTTCTTTGCACGTGTCCAGATTGCCCAGGCGGATGCCTAGCATGAGGATGTGTTGAGGATGTCTTGAGAGATACGCTTGTTTTCACGTGTCCAGGCCGCCCAGGCACTCAGCATTGCAACTTGGCACGTTCCCTGGCACGTTCCGTGGCGCGTCCTATGGCGAGTCCCCCTGGCACGTCGCGCGGCGCGTCCCCTGGCACGTCCTGTGGCACGTCCACAGGCACGTTCCGTAGCGCGTCCCCTTGGCACGTCCCGCGGTGCGTCCCCATGGCACGTCCTCTGGCACGTCGCCTGGCGCGTCCCTTGGGACGTTCCGTAGCGCGTCCCCCTAGCATGTCCTTTTGTCAAGTAGCTTTGGGGCGGCTATTATGTGCTCAGGCAGCTCGAGCTTAAGATCAAGATCAGTTCGGTCTGGACTCGGATGCAAAGGAGGACTCGATCTACAACGCTATAGAGCACAATCGCGGCATGGCACATCGCAATTCAGCACGGCGCAGCACAGCACAGCCCTCGGCACGGTACATCAAGATCGATACACTCAGCATTGCGTTTGCCCGTCGCCCAATCAGGTGTCTTTGACATGCTGCCACGCCTTGCATGTCTATATATATATATATATATATTCCTTTCCGGGGGTTCGTGGGTCGACCATGCTCGTCGAAAATCCCCTCTGCAGGGGGACACGCCCGACTTGAGGCCATCGCCGAACAGTGGGAGAAGTGCTCTCCAGCCCACAGCCGAGTAAGATCCTCCCCCTGCGCTGCCCAACCGCGCCTGCGGCGCCCGCCCCGCCCCCGCCGCTGGCCCTCCCCGCCGCGGACCCCCAGCGGCCTGCTGCCCCGGGGGCCTCCGTTGAAGAAGCTGCGGGCCCCGCCCGCCCCCGGGGCGGCCGCGAGGGCGAAGGGGCGCCCGCGGGGGCCGGGCGGGGCCCGGCCAGCGCTCGCCGGAGAAGCATCCAAAGGGCAGCGACATGTTTCTCGGAGGGGCGCGTGGGCTTCCTGGCTCGGCGCTGGTGATGGGCTTGTTTTCCACCACCACCACCATAAGTAGGAGGAAGAGGAGGAGGAGGAGGAGGAGGAGGAGGAGGTAGGAGGAGGAGGAGTGAGGAGGGAAGGAGGAGAGGAGGAGAGGAGGAGGAAGGAGGAGGAGGAGGACCCCCCTCCCCCTCCAACTTATGGTGGTGGTGGTGGAAAACAAGCCCATCAGCTGGAGCCCCTCGGCGGCGCCTCCGGCGCTGACCCAAGAGATCCGCGCGGACCTCCAGGAAGTTGTGCCTCTTCAGGAGGGGGCAAAAAGCACAGACGCAAACAATCGTCGAGTCCCAGGAAAACGTGGGAAAATATGGGAAGCGGGGGGGAAGGCAAATAGCTAGATAGAATATGGGATCATGTGGACAAGCCTGGGACTTGTGTCTGCTTCTTTGTGTCCCTGGGCCCCTCCACTCATGCCGTTTCCTGCTCCTCTGGACCGGCTCCCAGGCCCCCCCCTGCCAGGTTCGACTCAGCCCGTGGCCACCAGGCGGGCCAGGTCCCGGCGCCGGCCTCTTCCCAGCCATGGGGGCAACCGACGGTCATCCCGCCTCCCTCCCTTCCTCCCTCATTCCTTCCCCTCCTCCCCCCCCCCTCCCCTCTCGATTCCCCGCCCCCCCGCCCCTTCCCCCTCCCCTCCCTCCTTCCCCCACCTTATCTCCGCCCTGCCCCCTCGCGAGGAGCCCGGCATGCGGGCCCTCGTCGTCTTTCCGACCAAGGCGCTGGCCCAGGACCAGCTGGGCAAGCTCCAGCGCCTCTTCCAGGCCGCCTGCCCGTCCCAGGCCGGGGCAGGGCGTGCTCGGCCGACGGGCAGGGGTCGGTGCTGGCAGCGCCAGCGCTGGCACCTGGCACCAGGACCAGCGCTAGCCGTGACAGCAGCAGCGGCATCAGGAACAGAGAAGAGGAGGAGGAGGAGCAGGAGGAGCAGCAGCACGAGCCGCATGAGCCAGGGCAGGTGCACGACTTGGAGCGTGAGGAGGAGGAGGAGGAAGAGGAACACCAGCAGCAGCATGACGAGTAGGAGAAGCAGGGGCAGGATTCGGAGCAATGCGCTCTGCAAGATGAGGAGAAGGAGCAGGGACAGGTCGAGCCTATTCCGCGGCCAGATCCTACACACATGTATACATATTCTATCCATACACACATATCTACATAGGTGTATATATGCAAATGCACATCCACACATGCATACATACATCCATACATACATACAGTCACACATACAGACATACATACATGCATACACACATACATTCCTACACACATACATACACACATACGTACACACACGTACACATATACGTACGTTCATGCATACAGTCATCCATTTACACATTCATGCATTCTTACATCCATACATGCAAACTCTCCTACATACATGCATGTACACATACACACATACACACGAACACATACGCACATACGTCCGTTCACATATACATACACAAACATACAATCATACATGTATACATCATACACACACTATACGTATACATATAAACACATACATACATACCCACATGCTTACGTACGTGCGCACGTACACACATACACGCATACACACCTACACACATACACACATCCATCCATACATACATACGTACATACATACATACATCCCATACATACATCCGCACATGCATAAACACACATATCTATGTATACAAATATACATATATATGTACACATCGAAGACGCCTTCGGCGAATCATCGCCGCCCCCTGCCTTTTTGCAAGCGCCTATGTGGCCGAACGGTGAGGCCAGACCTGCCAAGCTATCGGACCATGTGTTCCCCGAATCGGTTTGGAACGCCTTCGGGGAACACGTGGGCATCTTGAAGGTCATCTTGGCCGTCTGCAGGCCATTTTGACCCTTTCGGGCCTTCTTGGAGGACGTCTTGGAGGGCTCTTGGGCCGTCTTGGAGGCCATCTTGAGCGTCTTGGAGGCCTCTTGGGCCGTCTTGGGGGCCTCTTGGGACCGTTTTGGACCTCTTGGGCGATCTTTGGGAGCCCTTGGGCCGTCTCGGGCCGTCGGAAGGCAGAAAAAAGCAACTGCCACAATCCTTCAAACACTCATGGGAAATCAATGATTTTGGCCTTTTCGGGCCTTCCTGGGGGCCCTCTTGGATGCCTCTTGGGCCATCTTAGGGCCATCTTCGGCTGTCTTGGTGGGCTCCTGGCCCGTCTGACGCCGTCGAAAGCCGTTTTGGAGGCCTCTCTCGGCCGACTTGGGGCCCTCTTGGAATGCTCCAGGGCCGTCTTGGAGGCCATCTTGGGCGTCTTAAAGGCCTCCTGGCCCGTCTTGGGGGCCATCTTGGAGGCCTCTTGGGCGATCTTTGGGCGATCTTTGGGGGCTCTTGGGTCGTCTCGGGCCGTCGGAAGGCCGACAAGAAGCAAACGTGCAAATCCCTCAAAAACCGTAGGAACATAAGTGTTTTTACCTTTGCTGGCCTTCCTGGAGGCCCTCTTGGAGGCCTCTTGGGCCGTCTTGGGCCAGCTTCGAGCCAACTTCGGCCATCTTGGTGGGTTCCTGGCCCGTCTGACGCCGTCGGGAGCCGTCTTGGGGGCCTCTCTGAACCGGCTTGGGGCCCTCTTGGGGCGCTTCGGGGCCGTCTTGGAGGCCATCTTGGGCGTCTTGGAGGCCTCTTGGCCCGTCTTGGGGCCCTCTTGGGGCCGTCTTGGGGGCCTCTTGGGCCGTCATGGGGCCATCTTGGAGGCCTCGTGGGTGCTCTGGGGGCGATCTTTGGGGCCTCTTGGGCCGTCTTGGACATTGTGAAGGTTTAAAAGAAGCATATGTCAAAATCATTCAAGAACCAATGGAAAGTCAATGATTTTGGCCTCTTCGGGCTCTCCTATTGGACCGTCTTGGCACCCTCTTGGGGCCTCTTGAGGCCATCTTGGAGCATCTTGGCCCGTTGTGAGGCCCCACACCCCCCCCCCACCCCCCCACCCCCCCCCCACACCCCCCACAAACCCACCCAACCCCCCCAACCCCCCCCACCCCCCACCCCCCCCCCCCCCCCCCCACCCCCCCCCCCCCCCCCCCCATTATCTCCCGCCCCCACCCGCCACACCCCCTTCTTGACGATTTATTTATTAGAAGGCATCTTGGACCCTCTTGGGCCGTCTTGGAGGCCATCTTGGACCATCTTGGGCGGACTTGGAGGCCATCCTGGGCCATCTTGGCCGTCTTGGCTTATAGATCACCCAAGGAAGGGCTACCCTAGGGCTACCCCTAGGGCCTACCCCTAGGGCTACCCTAGGGCTACCCTAGGGCCTACCCCTAGGGCTACCCTAGGGCTACCCTAGGGCCTACCCCTAGGGCTACCCTGGGGCTACCCCTAGGGCCTACCCCTAGGGCTACCCTAGGGCTACCCCTAGGGCCTACCCCTAGGGCTACCCTAGGGCTACCCTAGGGCCTACCCCTAGGGCTACCCTAGGGCTACCTCTGGGGCCTACCCCTAGGGGTATCCTAAGGGTACCCTAGGGTGTCCAGTAGGGCCTATCCTTGGGAAGCCTAGGGCCTTCAGTCTGTGTAATCCGCCACACAAGCAAGCAATGCCTTTAATGTCCCGCCCGCCCGCCCGACAAAAGGAATCAGCTTGTAATCCGCTATAATAGTAATCAACTTGCAATCCGCTGCCAAATGGAATCACTTTGTAATCCGCCACGAAAGCAATCAATGCATTTAATGTCCCGCCCGCCCGCCCGACCAAAGGAATAAGTTTGCAATCCGCTGCCAAAGGGAATCCATTTGTAATTCACCACACAAGCAATTATTGCCTTCAACGTCCCGCCCGCCCGCCAGGCAAAAGGCGCCCGACCAAAGGAATAAGCTTAAAATCCGCTGCCAAAGGGAATCCATTCGCAATTCACCAAACAAGCAATCATTGCCTTTAATGTCCCGCCCGCCCGCCAGACAAAAGGAATCAATGTGTAATCTGCCACAATAAGAATCAGTTTGCCATCCGCCACACAAGCAATCAATGCCTTTAATGTCCCGCCCGCCCGCCCGACAAAAGGAATCAGCTTGTAATCCGCCACAACTGGAATCTACTCGTAATCCGGTACCAACGGGAAGCAATTGGTAATCCACCACACAAGCAAGCAATCAATGCCTTTAATGTCCCGCCCGCCCGCCCGACTAAAGGCATCAGGTTGTAATCCGCTACCAAGGGGAATCAACATGTAATCCGCTCAGAGGGGGGGTCAGAGAGGGGGGGTCAGCGAGGGGGGGTCTGTGAGGGGGGTCCCAGAGGGGGGTCTGCGAGGGGGGGCCTGCGAGGGGGGATCTGTGAGGGGGGGTCAGCGAGGGGGGGTCAGCGATGGGGGGGTCCCAGAGGGGGGGTCAGCGAGGGGGGGTCAGCGAGGGGGCTTGTGAGGGGGGTCCCAGAGGGGGGTCAGCGAGGTGGGGGTCCAGAGGGGGGGATCAGCGAGAGGGTGGGCCCAGAGGGGGGGTCAGACGAGGGGGGGTCCCGGAGGGAGGGGGGTCAGCGAGGGGGGGTCAGCGAGGGGGGTCCAGCGAGGGGGGGGTCAGGCGAGGGGGGGTCAGGAAGGGGGGGTCAGCGAGGGGGGTGCCCAGAGGGGGGGTCCTGGCAGTATTTCGCTGCTTTCGGGGGGGTCAGGCGATGGGGGTCCCGCGAGCTGATATGGGGGGTCAAGCGAGGGGGGGTCCCAGAGGTGAGTCCTTTTCCTCCGAGGGGGGGTCAGCGAGGGGGGGTCCCAGAGGGGGGGTCAGCGAGGGGGGGTCCTAGAGGAGGGGTCAGCGAGGGGGGGTTCAGCGAGGGGGGGTCAGCGAGGGGGGGTCAGCGAGGGGGGGTCTGCGAGGGGGGGTCAGCGAGGGGGGGTCTGTGAGGGGGGTCCCAGAGGGGGGGTCCCAGAGGGGGGGTCCCAGAGGGGGGGTCTGCGAGGGGGGGTCTGCGAGGGGGGGTCAGCGATGGGGGGGTCAGCGAGGGGGGGTCCCAGAGGGGGGGTCTGTGAGGGGGGGTCTGCGAGGGGGGGTCAGCGATGGGGGGGATCTGGTGAGGGGGTCCCAGAGGAGGGGGGGGTCAGCGAGGAGGGGGTCCCAGAGGGGGGGTCTGCGAGGGGGGGGTCTGCGAGGGGGTCCAGCGATGGGGGGGTCTGCGAGGGGGGGGTCTGCGAGGGGAGGTCAGCGATGTGGGGAGGGGGGGTCCCAGAGGGGGGGGTCTGCAGGGGGGGTCTGCGGCGCCGGGGCCGCGGTCCCCGCCAAAGGATCATATTGGGGTTATCCGAATAAGGGTTTCCCTAGTGCCACCCCTAGGGCTACCCTTGGGCTACCCTGGCGCCCACCCCTCAGAGGCTACCCTTAGGGCCTACCCTTGGGAAGCCTAGGGCCTTGGGTAGGGCCTACCCTTGGGAAGCCTAGGGCCTTGGGTAGGGCCTACCCTTGGAAAGCCTAGGGCCTTGGGTAGGGCCTACCCTTGGGAAGCCTAGGGCCTTGGGTAGGGCCTACCCTTGGGAAGCCTAGGGCCTTGGGTAGGGCCTACCCTTGGGAAGCCTAGGGCCTTGGGTAGGGCCTAGGGTAGCCAAGGCCCCCGGTGATCTATACCCGTCTTGGAGGCCATCTTGGGCCACCTTGGAGCAACAAAGGCATCGACGGATGCGTTTTGAGATCCTTCCCGGGACCCCGGCGGGACGGGCCGAAGCCCCAGGGGGAGTTCTTGTGGAGTTCTTGTGGGGAAAAGCCAAAACCGAAATCGTCTAGCACGCCGGGCACCCCTGCGATGAATCGACAGGGGGCGGCGGATATGAGGCCTTCGGCC